GAAAGAGCAGGTAGATGAAGTTTGGCTTGAGGCAAAGATTTCCATCTTGGGGACTGACCAGCCAGGGTTCTTTGTAAATGTTTTTCCTTGCACACTAATCATCTTGAAGAAAACACTAGCTGCTAACTCTAGGATTTGCCTTTAATATGTTTATAGGGCTCAAAAGCAAGGTTTTCCGAATGTGTTTGTCCATGTGACATATTTATATAGTAAATACTCTAGTGTCTCGCTGCTGTTCAGTACTCTCAACAGGGCGATGTTCTTTCGTTAGCTAAATTAACATCCACTCCCAATCCTTAACTTTCTGCCAGTGTCCGGTGAATCCAACTGGGATTTCTAGCATCTTGGCGTAGCACATCACTCTAATCGAAGATGAAAACTCTACCAAAATATGTTTGAGCAGCCCCTTAGCAAGGAGCTTTGTAGTACGAACAGTTGACGGAAGCCTGGGATGAGGCGGTGGTCCCATGGAGGTGACTCCGGTTGCCCTCCGGGGGAAGTGGTGACTGTGAATTGTCCTGTCCTTTCCTCTGCTATGTTTTTATGTGCACTTGGATGTTTTGGGGTCATTCTTTTGCATTGCAGTGTTGTTGAAATGCAGCGAAACTGATTTAGGAAAGGTACCTGTATTTTCCTGGTTTTAGAAAGAAAGGCAAAAATGAAATGAAGGGCCAAAATTGTATGGAATTTACCATGTGAGAGTGGAGGGTGTGCCCAGAGCATGGTGCTAACGCAGCGTTCTGAAGTTCAGCTCCTCTATCACAAACAGCAGCAGTGACAGCGGGGACAGGCTATACCTGCAGGTTCAGTGGGTTCATTCTTTTGCTTCTGTTATGGTTTGAATTTGGTCAAAGTCTCTGGCTTAAATTGAGCTACTTCAACAGAATTCTCTCAAACCCATCTCTTTGTGTAATGTTAAGCATGACTGAATGCTGAATCCAAATGATGGCTATCCCATATTGGCTTTTTTTGTATTCAAAAAGAATTGTGTAGTAACCATTTTTACATGTATATCATGTGCAGACCTGGACTATTCCAACAAGTTAATATTTTAATTAAAATAGTTTGCAAAAACTGATTCAGATCAACTGGTCTAAATGTGTGTGTCCCTGTGTGTACGTGGGGGAAGGAAAGCTGTCCCAAACAAGCCTGATCTCGAGCGAAAGCACCCCATTACGCAGCTGTAGCCAGAGGGACTCAGGGTCAGGCTGTGCCGTGGAGGTGTATGAGGAGGCCCTCGGTCTTGAGAATTTTAATGTATCTCGGGTATATTTCCGAGATACATAACCAACTATAAAATACGCTAGAGAGACGCAAACACTCTCTGAATCAGTTTGCAAACTCTGTTTTTTAAAAGTAAGACTAATTACTCCATATTGTACTCGTTGCAGTCATGCCCTAACTTTGGTTTTAAAAATACTGTAATCTGTAAATTGTGGGGACTACTCCAGTACCTCAGCAAAGATGTTCTTTTACATCTTTTATGTTCGTATTTAACACTGGGGAAATTCTTCTGTGTGGACTACTTTGCAAATTTTATTGCAGTATTTTCAGATCACCAGCTTAACCCCTGAAATCTCTTATTCTGTGGTTATTTTTCTCTCCCCTTTGCAAAGACCTAAAGTTCTGATGTAGTTTAGCCCAGAGATGAAAAAAAACCAAAGGAGCCAGCATTTTCACCTCTTTCTGATTGGACTTTCTTTCGATTTTATTTAATTAGGATCGGTGAAAGGGACCACGTTTTTCTTGTTCTCCATGGTGCCAGGGAGTCAGCAGCCACCTCTCCCTTCCATGTTGAACAGGACGTGCTTTCTTCCTCAGATGCGGCACTGAAATGGAGGCCAGCTCTGTTTCACCTGCCTGTGAGCTTCAAAGGGGTTGAAGAAATAAATGTGGTACGATACCAAGCTTTCCACAGAAAATTCCCTGCAGCCATTCCTTGACTGGCTTGGGGCCAGGCTGGCATCGCTCTGTATCCCACCCAGCCCTCCCTCTGCAGAAGAACGTGCGTTGCGCACTGGCTGTGCCCCGCACAGGGTGCACCCCGGGGAGAGCCGGGGACGATGCTGTTTATTAACCCCCCCAGGGAAAAGGGCCCCTTGCACTCCAGGCTGCCCTGCCCCCTTGACCCTGCTTATGTGCCATTTCTTGAGAGGCAATAAATTGTATTGTACCACTGTCTACCATTACTCTGTTGAATACGCACATCTCTCTGGTTATATATATGGTATCTCATTTGTATATATTTATATACTCTCTATGTACGTGTGTGTGGGTATACGTGCACACACATCATGCTGTGCATTTCTGTCAGGGCACTTCAGTTCCGCTGTTCTTTAGCGCTCCTGTTCATGAGCAAAAGCAACCCCTGCAGCAGGGCTCTCTAGGGCGAGGGCACGTACATCTGCGCAAGCTGTGCCAGGGCTGAGCGCTGTCAAAAGCCCTCGCTTAAATACTGCCCTGCTAATTGTAGCTTTCTTTTTCTGGGGAGTGGGAGGGAATCGATAACTGCTACGGGTGTGCTGTAAAGGAGAGAAGAGAGCTCCCAGAGGGTACCAGAAAGTCAGAAGACAGCAGAGAAGAAAACAAGATGGTATAGCGATAGGAAAGCAGTTGAGGCGATGTACCGATCTGCTGGGGAGGCGGTGAGTGGGCCAGTGAAGTGCTCAGCAGGCTGAGCTCAGAGTCCCCAGCTGCGTCTTGCCATGAAAGATCACAAACCCGGCATGGTCTTGGCACGCTGCGCCGGCACGAAGTTTTGGCAGTCCCGAGTTCAAGCCGCCACTAACTCCGAACGCCGTCTACCTTTGTGTGCGTCCAGTAACTAGAGCAGGTTATGTGGAGGATCAAAAGAGAAGCTAAACTGGAAGATTTAAAAGATACGTGCGTGCGTGTGTGTACAGTGCATACATACGTACATATATGTACTCACACAGAGACGCTTCTGGTCCATTCTTTATTCTGCTTAGGCATGTGCGTTTTGTTGCTCGAGGCCAGTGAGCAGAGGACAGCCTTGTTCTTCTCCTGGGTGCTTGCTCTGCATCTCTAGTAAATCTTGCCCTGGTCTTTCTCATAGCAGAGGGGCGAGTGCCATGCTGGACACCATGAGCTCCTCAAGCTGTGAAGACCCTTGTAACCTTCTCCTTTGTCCTCCACAGACCCCGTCTTAGTGAGACAGCTGGCAGTTTGGGGGATAAACGGTCCTCGCGTGTGTCAAGTCACAAATGTTCATCCAGCTGCGCTGTTTACCCCCCGGGGACGCCCAGCCAGCTCAGCAGCACGCCAGCCACAGGCTCTCTTCCTTGTGCTATCAGAGAAATTGGAGGCAATTTTCCCCCCTGTTCCTTTTGGAAGGTCTCTCGTGAGCTTTTTAGCTGAGGCTCGGGTTTGGTTGGGCCATCCTTACCCTTTCACAACGAGTAGCGTCGTCTTTAGCTGTGCTCCTACCTGTGGGACTTGCCCACCCCGGCGCTGGCCGGCAGCGAGCCCGGAGCCACGTGCTGAGGATGGAGGAGTGGTGGATGCCCAGACAGGGACGCCGGTCGGTGTCCCTCTGCTGTGTTTGCTTCAGTTTGCACTTTTACAAGTCGATTGAGCCGGAGTCTATTGAGAAATACGTGTGGGGCGCTTCGGAGGTTTGTGGGTAGCTGTTTACAGCCAAAAATAGCTGATAGATCTGGTGGTCATAGTAAACATCACCCCAGCAGGGAACGATGGCAGCGGGTGACCCTGGTTCCTGTTGCACAATGCGATTCAGCCAGCTGGGGCTGTGACACTGCCCGCTGCATCCCTGCCCCGCAGCCTAGGCTTTGCTGGGGAAGGAAAGGCCTTTGTCAGCTAGAGAGGGACTTAGTAAAGCGGATTTGCCGGCAAACAAGCACCTTAACCACCGAGCTGTGGGTCTCAATACTTGCACTTCACCTGAAGGCTCCTCGGGGGGGGGAGGAAGGCAGTTTGGTACGTGACCGTTGGCTTTGCACCCGCCTGGCATCCTCAAAACATCCTAAAGCTGTGTCCTAGGAAAGAAAAAAAAAAAAAACCCGACAGCAGTTCCCTCTCCCCTTGCTTTCTCTGAGTGCACACACTGAGTCCGGGAACCAGGAGGGGTGAGCGTTGCCCCCACGGATGTGAACAAACCCGGGGGGATCGTGCCCCCCGCCTCGCGCCTCCGGTCCCCTGCCCCGCTCCCCATCCCTGAGTACGGGTACCTCAGAACATGCACAGTTTGAATTTTCACTGACAATTAGTTTAATTATTGTGAGTGAAAAGAATTGTAATTATCTGTAAATATGTAGTTAACAAATTGACCTAGTTTCTGTATTTTTTAAGTTTTTGTACTAAAATTTATAGATACAGTATGTGCCAGCTAGCAAAAAGCTACTGTAATTGCCAGTCGTAGTTCAGCATGCATCTAATCCCCGAGACGTGTCAAAGTGATGCTGTAAGGAATTGTGCTTTTTCGGCGTCCCGCGTTCAGCCGGGTTTTCCGCGTCCGCGGTGTGGAATCGTCTTCCCTTCGGCATCGCGTGCCGTACGGTGGGCAGCGCGAGGGATGGAGCCGTGGCTTCGAGCTTTCTCTGGGGCTGAACTCAGTGGGAACCGAGTTCAGGTTCTTTGCTGCAGTTTAATACCGGCTTATGACTATATTTTTCAGCCTCTCTAGAAATGATCTGTTTTCCCTTTCTGACTGCTTTTGTCTTAAACCCGAGATCGTCTAAACCTACTGGAGGAAAAAAAAAAATGACTTTCATTTAAGATCGTTGCCTGCTTTTAGTGCCAGGATCACGCATTTCTATGGCAACTCTGAGCTCAGCAGAGTTTAGAAATCAGCACAGGGTTGTTAACGAGCTGAAGTTCGTCGCCGCTGCTGTTGCACGGCGCCGGCAGAGCCCCACTGCAGCCGGTGGCAGCTGTGAAGGGCGAGTTTGTGGGTGCGATGCGGTGGCTTGCGGGGCTCTCGGCGTCCCTGCCCCGGCTGGCTTTTGCTGCAAGCCCTGCCACTAAGTGAGGGGTGGGCTCCCCCGCGCTTCCTAGGAATGGGGGAAGGACCTGTGCTCCTTGTCTTGTGGCAGAGGCAAGTCTGCAAGTCGAGAATAGCTTTGCTGAGCGTCCCGGGAAGCTGCGAGCAGAGGAGTTTGAGCGCCGGTGAGGCCGTGCTCTCCAGGTCTGGTTGTCCCAGAGGTTGTAGGGGACAGGAGCTTGTAAGGATGCAAGGATCAGAGAAGGAGAGGCATACGTGCGCTTACGGGTTTGGCTTCTGGCAAGCAAACCACCCCCTTCCTTTCTTCAGCTTTTCTCCCCTCCTAACCCCCCGCAGCTCTTCCCCCTGCTTGCTTGGAACAGGAACATTTTTTACCTGCCTAGAAACAGCTAAAAGATGGGGGGCAGCCCTGATGTAAATAATTAACGTTACAAAGTGAAGTGTGTATAACATAAAAGGCTACAGCCCTTTTGGTGACTTGTAAATGCTTGAGAAGGTTGTGGTGAGACGTGGAGGGCCAAGCGACCTGCCCGGGGCTCTGCAGCCGCCGCTGCCCCACCGACACCTCGGGGCCGGCGGGTCGGGAAGGGGGCCCACCCTGCGTACCTTCGCCGTGGGAACCCCCTTGGTTTAGTGGATGGGAGGGTAGCGTAACGTGTGTAATACGGATAGGAGAAGCTGTGTGAGGTGTGTATAGTGTATATTTTTTAAAAATAGCTTGCTTGTATTGTGAAGATTTTAAAGACAAACTTGAGAATTCTAGCCTAACTATTAACACAAGTTTAACATCAGTTACCCCACTGGGTTCAGAGCCTCTTGAATGTATATTCCTTTTTGTAACCTAAATGACCTATTCTTCTACCAGTCAGCCAGACATCCTATTTATATTTTTAATTTTATATATTACTTTCCATTTGTTTTCATTATTTCCAGCATGTTTCTGGTTTTGGTTTTTGTTTGTTTGGGGTTTTTATTTCTTTTTGCACAAGCATTGTGTGAAGTCAAGGAAATGTTAACTCAAACCTGGTATTTTCCAACCTGTTCCCCCCTCCCCTTCCTCTCCTCCACCCGTTGTTTTGGGTTTTTTTTTTTTTCTTCCGCCAACAGTTTGGGATTTTCTGGGCTGGGATGCAGCGGGTGGGAGGAGGGGATGGCTATTTTCCATTTGCAGCTGCTGTGCAAATGCCAGGTCTTTTGCCAGTCAACTAAAAAAATGCTTCACTTGCTGGTTGCTTTAAAAAAAAATAAAATAAAATAAAACAAAAATGTAACCTTATCAGTCCGATGTAGACCATGGCGGGAGGAGGGGAAGTGCACACCTGTAGCCACACAACTCTAGCTTTGGCTGCGAAACAAAAGCAAACCTTTCCTGGCGAGCAGGGAGCCGCAAGGCAGCTCCCAGCCCCGCCGGCTGCCCGATCCCGCGGAGATTCTGCCGGGCACGAGCTCCGTGCGCAGCCGAGGGCCGAGCCCTGCGGCTCAGCAGAGCCGTGCCGGGGAGCGACGGGCCTCGGGCTTGCTCTTGCCCCCTCGGCGCCTGTTCGTGTGCACAAACCCAAGAGCTGCCTACTGAGCAAAGCTGTTGCTGCTTTTCCTCTCCTCCTCCTCCTCCTCTTCCTCTTCTCCCCCCTCCGTAAGGAGGTCCAGCTCACCAACAAGAGCTCGCCCAGCGCCCGGCCCCAGCGCCGTGGCCGTCTGCTCTGCGGCATCACCCAGGTATAGCAACGCCCGGCTGCCGCGGTGCCGGGGGAAGGCGCCCGGCCGTGCGGTTGTGTGCCGCAGAGCATTAGTTAGAAAAAAACACACACATATCTGCTGTTTTACTATGAACACTGGTCTGAGGTGTCCAGGCCCAGCACCACGGTGATGGGCCGCGAAGGATTTAACTGGGGGAATTAAACTCCTTCCTGCTTCCGTGTCTGGTAGCACCAGCTGGTATGAGTGAATCTACAGGTGTGCGTTTTCCTTCTTGTAGAAAATGCCACGAGCACTAACTGGTAAGGCTTAATGTACAGTATATTGTCAGTATTCTGGTATTCTTCTGGTTCAACATACATTATAGCTCATATATAACCTGTATTAATTGTATAGATTGTGCATTTAAAGCTGTTACCAAGTTGTCAGAAAATAAGAGAAGAGAAAAAAATAAGGTCATATGTAATATTTTGTTTGTAAGTATCCTTTGTATCATAGCAAAGGAAATGTTAAAAAAAAAAAAAATCAACTGTAATAAAGTAATTTTAGTACACGGAGTGTCTGCCTGCCTTTCTGAGCCCCCGGCGCGTGGGACCCTGCCCAGGGGCTACCGGGTGTAGGACCTCTGCCAGGTGAAGACGGGGGGCTCAGCGGCGGGACCCCCCCACCTGCGGGGCCGCGGCGGCCGCTTCCTCCGCTCCTCCGCCCGCAGGAACTCGGCCATGGCCTTGAAGTACTCCAGCACGGCCTCGTGGCCCCAGCAGCGCCCCGGTCCCCGCCGGGGAAAGCCGCAGTGCCCCCCGTGCGGGGTGAGCAGCAGGAAGAAGTAGGGGCTGCTGCGGAAGAGCTCCAGGGGCAGGCTGCGGGCCGGGGGGCCGCGGACGGGGTCGTCGGCGCTGCAGAGGCACAGCACCGGCACGGCCGCCTCGTCGGCGTCGCGCAGGGGCTCGTTGCGCTCCCAGTAGGCCTCCCAGCTGGTGGGGTGGCTCTTGGTCCGGCAGAAGAGGGCTTCCTCCAGCTCCCGCAGTGAGCGGCTGCCCCGCAGGCTGTCCGCGTTCTCCGCCCCCGCCCGGGGGC